TCTTTTCTTTCTATTTTGTGGTCTAGGAAAGAAAGGTCAGATAGTAAAAAGGAAAATACTTGAAGAGAGAAATTCGTACAGTATATAAATATAAATTATATCATTCAGTTTAAAAGATAATCTTCTGTTTTTCTGTATATATCCTTGACAATGATTTTTTAATAAATCGAAACGTTGGAAATTCAAAATGATTAAAACCGCTGCTTTGGTTATACTTTTCTTAATCAGACATAGTTAGCAATACTAAATAAAGTATCAAGTATCAAGTAATAAGTTAAATATCAATCGAACGAGCGAAAAAAACTGAACAAAATGTGATATATCTCAGTTGTCAAGAACAAGATTTTCATATGGCAGGCAAATTTAAAAAAATGGATTTCTCGTGTGAAATGTATGACCATCATTCAAATTTATCTACTAAGTCGTTATTGCAGCTTGCAGAAAAGACAGACTTAACACTAGAACATCTGACAATCACTCAAAAATTGCTGATCGAGAGACCACAATGTTTTCGAGCACTGAAGTAGATTGAGTACAGTTCTAAATTTTTAAAGAATAGAAAATTTGAATTGAAAAGAGCACGGAAAAAAGAAAGGAGCACGGTTTTTTATTATTTAGAGCACGAAAAATAATTTATTAGAGAACGAAGTGCTTGACGATTGAACAGAGAACGGGTTATACAGTACCAACTCCAGAGTCGAAGTGTTATGTTTGTATCATATTGAAGAATGAGATTTAAGATTGAAATTGAAATTCAAAGTTGTATCGAAAGATCTAGGTATTCATTTGCTTGAACATGAAAAGCCTTTTTTCACATGTGTGTGGTATAAATAGGCATTTCCAGCGTCAGAATGTAACTATCACTGCTCTAAACATGTCGCGTAATATATGGCATTTCGACGGTAACTTTACAAACACTGAAACGTTAAATGCGTGTTTTAAACCAAATTCTCTATCAAAGTTTCGTACAGAGCAACCAAGGAAACAAAATGGACTTGTAGGTATTGATCATATAAGATGTATCTTGATTGTGATTATCAGATTTGGGCATTGGTCAGTTAATTGAATGTGATTATTATTAGTAAATCGAGTCAACACAATCGCGACGATCATGTATCATCAACACGAGTACCCGATCCTGTGCGTGATATTGTTAACAAAGTGCTGGCTGCAAAATTCTTGTTATTGAAAAAACTTGTTATTGTTGTTGATGGTATTCTATCAGACTATAGTCTGATAGAATACCATCAACAACAATAACAAGTCTATTACATTACCATCGTTCAAAAGTTCGATCATCAATATTTAGTTTTGAACAAAACTTCGGCTGAATCCTGAAAAACTCTACGGATTTTAAATAAACTAAGTATTTTCAATGAATTTTGAAAGTTTTCTGAATAATTAGTAAATATGTCTTGTCAATTACATACAAAAATGTTTAACTATGTCTGGTTCATACGGTTAGCTTATAAACAGAAAAAACGTTTTATAATTAAGGTCTTGAAACGGTGTATCGAGCGGTATTGTGGAATGATGTGTGGAAAAACCGAGTGGTTTCGAGGGACCGACGGTATTAAATAAAAATGTACGATATGGGGTACCGCTATGAATTCTCTTATAGTAAATACTTCGCCGTTACACACCTTTTTGTATTCTACGTTTTCCTTTCTAACCATTTGACAGTAGCGAAGTATACTAGCCAATGGGGAATAAGAAATTTTGGTCTAGATGATCTGTGTTTTATGACAAAAAGCGGATGTTTTTGTTCGAAATATTGTACCTAAACAAGTTAGGATAGTTTCTTACAGATCCAGTCAATACCTTGCTTGGTTATAAATATTTCCAATTACTCAGAAATACATGATACATGTCGTGAGTGTCTGGTTCTCACTTGTACACACTTTTGCTGTATACTTTTTTTTCTGCTTCATACTTTTATAGTTTTCTATTTATGTTAAAATGGTTCTTTCTAGAGTAGGGACGGCACTTTAATATAATTTATAGTAATATTACTATAAAATAATACTAGCAATAAAGTTTTCTCATGAAAAAGTAAAATAGATGACGGGATCAATACTAAAATTAACTTGTTTCAATTTCTTGTATTTAACTTTGCTAATAGAATCTGTTAGAGTAATCATTTGTCTGCAAAATAAAAATAAGCATTAATAGTCAGTTCGGTCAAGTTGATGTAACTTTTCAAAAAAAGGTTGTACAGCCTTGGCGAATGTCATTTCGAAGAGGAGACATTGTTTGTCTACAAGAGCTACGAGACACATAGGTCTAGTCAAATATGTATACAGTAAATTTTCGAGTTTGGACTTGAACGCTAATGGAGGATGACCTTAACAAACTATTTCTATCTTCTGAAAATTTCTTCACGGCTCGTATGTTGTTTACAAAAATATGTTTAGATATTCAAATAAGTTGAAAGTTCTGTATGAGATAGTTCAGTGTAGAAACGAAATTATAATGTCAGAGTTCAAGAAACAAGTGGTATGATGATCATATTATATAGAAGAATGTGCCGTATCCAAAGCAAGATGTCAAATTGGTAAGATGTTTCTTCATGAAGTAGTCTTATTTTTACTGTATAATCCAAAAAATTGCTCACGAGTCAGTGTTTTTAATTAATAGTTTCCCAATATTTTTTATCAATGTCAGAAATCTACTACTATCAACTCATGATAATACTTGTTTGCTTTGGTATGAAATTGACCTAGCTTTTATAACGTTTAATCTTAAAATAATCTTGAGAAATGGGCGAGAGATCTACTTTGTTGTCGTTTCTCAAAAGTCGAAAATTCAATAAAAAGCTGAATTTTCTTTTGAAAGAGTATCATTTACTGTGATGTACGATTGCTAAAAAACTTTCATCAGACTAAGATCTAGAGTAAAAATGTTTTTTTCTATGAAAAGGGAACGAGAGAAGGGCCTATAAATGAGAAAGACAGAGAATTTTCCGCCCTCCAAAATGAGCTATAGAGAAACTTCAAAAATATGCCTATATAAAACAATTGTCAAAATACTGTGCTCCTATAGCGAATTATTGTGTTGTAGTTTGGTAGTTAGCACGTCTATTTTTGTTAGCACGTGCATCATCAGACTTAACCAGGATTAGGTTCCGTTTGAGGCATATAACGGCTGAATCCTACTGGTGTTACGTAAAATTTTCACAGTTTTCCATCGAAGGAAGTTGTTGTGATTGTAAAACTAGAAATAGAACCGTCGGCATGTATTCGCTTAGAGCTTCAGAAATTTGGTTCATAGCATATCAACGATATCAAACAGAAACACGTCAAAAACCATCTGAATCATTCATGTCCAAGTTGGCTGTTTGGAAAACGTTAATAAACCTTTAGTTCGAAAAAATTCCTGTTTTTAAATAGTGCGGTCTTAAAAATCAAAAAAAAATCTTTATCAATGGCGAAAAGTAGATCATTGGAAAAGGCCTTTAATCTATCCAATCATATGTTTTTACCAAAAACGACTTTTTAACTCAAATCGATTTGTCTGATAGGAGAGGTCCTTAATGATGTGCCATCTTGTGAAACAGAATGAAATTGCACAGGAAAAACGCTTAATTTAATCTGAAATGTAGGAAGCTCTTTTCAGAAGAATAGTTCAGTAAATAATTCCATTCTTCATATGTAAATCAATGTCTTGTCTAAGTTTATCTATAGTGATACTGTTTAGTTGAGAAAATCAGTTATATCAAAAAGAAAACATTAAATATCAAAAGACAAGGAAAGTGTATGTACAGCTGTTAAAAATAATTTTTAAATATAGTACATGTAGATGATGTTTGATTAATTCCATATTCATTATAGATCAAAGAATTTCCCCATTGTGTTAATTGTGTTCCATTCCAGTCTTTGGACATATCTAAATAAGACATTACATGTCCACATTCATCATTTCCATTACCTTTCCATGACCAACCGATATAGCCAATTCGTAAATCATAACATTCTTTCATTAAAATTTTAATATCAATTTGAACCAATGTACATTGAAGAAATTTTGGCATTGGATGTGAAGCAGCAAATTCACCAATGATTAATGGTAAATTTAGACGTCTATAGGATAATAAGTGAGACCGAATATTATAGGTGAATAATGGCCATGTACACCATTGAACATACACATGAACACTAAATAATAATAAAAAATAAAATAAAATAAAAAAATTCCATTACGTTCAAATGTAAGATAACATGTCAAGATAAATCTATACCTAAATAAGATGTTATGTTCAGGATCAGACTGAATGATATCTGTGCCTTTTCGTCGTATTGCTCTTGCACTTTGTCCAGAACGTGGTGAATCGATTAATAAAACACCACTATAGCCAGCTTGACGTATTTGCTGTATAATCAATTGATATGCATAAGACCATTTTGTACTTCGTGTAAAAAATGAACCCCATTCATTACAAATATTAACAATAATATATTTTCTATAGTGAATTAACAATTTTATATGTTCTATCCAAAATTCTGTCATACTCAATAAATCATTAATAGTTGAACTCATTGTAACATCGTGTAATTCAACAATAGGAATCATTTTTAATTCAATACAACGTTTTATTATACGTTCTAAATATGAATGATTTTTAAAACCTGAATGAGATAAATCTTTACGCCATAAAATACGAACACTATTAAATTTTTTATCTCTCATTGATGGTAATGCATCATACAAATAATTTCGATCATATCCATCGTAATCAGCATGTTGACTATTCACACCACGAATTAAAAATAGATCACCATTTGCTGCATATAAATTGTAACCTATAACTTTGAAACCTTCGAAGAGAAAAAAATAATGATTTGCTATCTAGTGAATAAATAATGACATCTTTATTTACCTTGATATTTTGTTAATACTGTTCCATAAGCTAAATCGGTTGCATGTACAATTTTATTAACGCGATCAATTAATGATAAATGACAACGAATAACCGTGTTAAGAGCTAAATTTTGATTATTAAACGATAACGTAAATGATTTTTGAATTATTGTTGATTGTTTATCAAGATAACACGTTTGATTTAATACTATTTTATTTGTTAAATGTTCATCAAAGATAAGTAATAGAATAGTTGAATGGAAACATTTATATTCAATAAGAATGTCAAATGATTCCTGTTGAGGAAATGAATTATTCCAGTCGGATGACATTTTAATAGAATAATTGACATCTAATATAGTTGACTCATTACCTTAAATACAATTTCTCGTCAGATTTTTTTTGGATTAAAAAGATACGAAAGACGAAGTTACTAACTCCACCTGCATGTAGTCTCCTATGGAATAGTCTCAAATCGTCGTGTAGGATAGAGTAGAGATGTGCACGGGTACCATTTTCGTACCCGTACCCGACTCGTAATCGACTTATACCTAAAAATTTTCTCCTTTTTGTTCTCCAGCTAAAACTTTTGTTTTTCGGCTGAAGATGTCAAATTATCATTACGTTCTCAAGTAATTCTTTTTTAAACCTTTATATATATCAGCTAAATTACTGTATGTTTTCACTAAAATTTTGTGAGTTTTCCACTAGAAACCTTCCGGTTTGCGGATAAACTAAACAAATAGAACCCGTACCCGACCCGTACCCAACCTTCGGGTCTGGTTGCACATCTGTAGAACAGACGCACAGTGGCCATTTTACGAATAACAGGCGGACATCAGAATTTTTTGCTCTTAAACCCTTTTTTCATGAAAAATCATCAATGCTCAGTGATCTCTGCTATTTTCAAAGAAAAAATTTTAAGTTTATTTTCAGAAAAAAATCACTTACTTTGAAAAATCGATCTTGCAGATTCATGCGAAAAAATTTCAATGGATATGTCTTCAATTCAAATCTTATTGTGTTACATACAGTTCGATGCAACTCGACGGGTTGATTCAGACTATGTCACTCTTATTGAGAAAAACGCTTTTTTGCCAGAGAAAAATGGACTTTACCTTAAAACTAAACTTTTTTTTGGAAATCCGGTCGATTCTTTTGGAAATCTAGGAAAAAACGACTCTATCTGTACAGATGTAGTTAATATGGAAAAATATTTCTGCAAAGCTAGAGCCAGGTTGAAGCTTATAGCAATTTGGAACGCTCATTAAATTGTTTACAGGTACATGGAAAATAAGTTGGTTTGGAAATGAATGAAAAATTTTCATTGCTAGGTATCCCAAAGAGTCTAGATTCTTAATGTGCATTGCTTTTGTTTATAATTTTGTTGTATACAATAAAAAAGATTTGAATTTAAAACTCTGTGTTTTCAGACTAATTTTTGACTAGGTATTTTCCCACGATTCTTAGCAATTGGATCAAAAACTTTTTATGTCAATGAATAGATCATAGATCGAAGAACGAAACCCAAGGATACAGAAAAATTTTTCTCTTTCTATGGAAGCGAAGCGCATGAGCTATTGGCTAAATCAGCTTTCTTAGCGATTTTCTAACGCAATGGTACAGTTTTTTTTTCCTGCGTCTAAGTAGTTAAGGAGATGAATTGAGGGTGAAAATCTCACTTTAAATGTGTGAACTCGAATCCGAAGGTGTGTCAGTGTCAACTGAATGACTGAGGAAAGTGATCATGCGGCGAAAAGTATTTAATCCTTTCCCACGGATCGCGTAGTAGAACGTACCGCGCTCGCAGTTTGTCTCCCGCGTATCGCATAGTAAAACGTACCGGATTTTCTGTAATTTTTTTTTTCTGTGATATTTTCTGTAATCATAAAATATCGACAACCGAATAAGTGGAAAGCTAAGCAGCGAAGATTTCTAAGATTGTGTACCTAATTTTTATCCGTAGGAAAGGGTTAAAGTACTTTTCGTAGCACTACTCTCTAAAAAAAAAGGTATTTTAAAATACGGAAAATGGTATAACCATTTGAACCATATCATAACTATTAAAACGTTTTTTACTTTTATCAGAAAACTCTTTTGGTATTTTTAGAATTCGAAAAAGCCGTGATTTAAAAAACCCTGAATTTATTCAGTATTTTAAAATACCTGAAAGGGTTTTTTGTGACATGAAGAACCCTCAACCGTTTTTCAGAACATAATTTAGCCGTATTTTAGAAAACGAAAATTAGTTTTTTGATAAGAATAAGAAACTTTTAAACAGTTATGATATGGTTCAAATGGTTATATCCTTTAAACGTTTTTCACGGGTGGTTATACGTTTTTTTTGGTTTTTCTCAAAAATGGAAAATACCTTTTAGGGTTTTTTGAAATACCTGTTTTTTTAGAGTGTATGCACTTAGCTTTGCGCTTACTTTGTTTTTATTGCACATATATGTGTAACATAAGCACAGATTGCCCTTGAATTTGATTCTTAGAGCGCGTTGAACCAGAAGCTTCTTGAGGAAAAAGTGGTGAACAAAGACGGAATCGCTTTGAGCCTTTCATCTTTTTAAGAGGCTAAGTTTGAATGGTCTTGCACCTCCGTGAGAGAAAGATTTGAGATCTCAAATAACAACGTATGCAATGGTTGAATTTTTCACAAAATTGACGTGAACGAGACACCATCTGCAAATGTCAAAAAATACTAAACCTTTTTTTAAGGATTGTTTTACCTGTCATTAAAAAAGGTTTTAGTAGGGGTTAACGTCTAGGATATCTTTTTTTGCAGCTTTCTATCAAACCATAAAGGGTATCTGATTGGAACACTTTTCTACACCCTTTTTAGGTTTTGTACATGACGCTTGTTTTTAGAGTGTAGAGTTATTTTCTTCAGCTACCTGTTATTTCGCTAATTTTGTATAATACATTATTGCCAATTTCTTGTACATTATTTCTTTTATCGGCTAACCACGGAAAATCGTGAAATTCATATGTAATAAAATAATGTATAAAAAATAGAATTAATATTGGCAGTCCAATTAGAGCAAGTAAAATATTGATAATCGTATTTGTTGGAGATGCCGTGACAAATAGTAAACCAAGCTAAAAGAAAAAGACGAAATAATTGCATATCGTTTGAACTATTTATATTAGCAAAGTCAATGGTAAAACTGTATTTATACTAGAGAAGTGATTACATCAATATTGTATTGTATTGTATATTCCTTGTCACTCATTTTATTACCATTTCATTTTCAATGGATATCTTCTCAAGGTAAATCAATACTTCAATCAATTGATTGACAGTTTATTAAAAAACTGTTTTATTTTTATTTTCTACTTAATCATCGTATATGTTCGTGCTCATGATGCGCATGTTTTTCATTATTTAACATTATGTTCAGACGAACAGGAAAAAAACAATTACTTTCGATCTTCTTAAAAAAAAAATATATTGGTCTTGTTTTTTATTTTCAAAAAAAATATAAAACAGACGAATTAGTCTTTCTTCTCATTCTTTTCTGAATTTTATTCATCGATAAACATTTCAGCATAACTTACCTCAAGTTGTTTTGAAAATATACACCATGTGAACATAATATTGTTTAATTATCTATACGAGATGAAATGTTATTTGTGTTCTTGTCTTACGTTTTTTTCTTGCCATTGTTAATATAAAAGTTAAAATGATTATGTGATTAATTGCAATAGTAAGTTGTTGAATAATAATAATAATATTTCTGAATACATTTTGTCACGTACACATTTATTGAGTAATTTCATCTTAAATAACATAATCTATTAAATTTAAATGAAATGAAAGAAAAGTATTTTTAGATAAGTACAGTATTTCATGCTTTACCTTGCTATATTAATAGAGATGTAGGCATCAATCAGAACTCTCCCATATCTAAACTACTACCTTTGAATCACAAACTGAGATTTTAAAATAGAATTGATGAAATTCAATATACTATACACCGTTAGATTTTTTTGGTCTGATGTTTACTGATGTTACGGTGTATCTCCTATAGTGACACAAATGTACCTCAAACTTCAGCATACTCAACTGAAATTCAATAGATGAAATTTAGTCTGAAAGGAATAAAGAATTTATTTGAAAAAGAGAAATTTTTCGATCCTAGAGCGGTCTTGGCAGCAGTGTTTTTCCAACGCAGTATGATGTCCTCGGCGAATCTTTGAAATCACTCTTCTACCTAAAAATTTCTTTTTTTCAAATAAAATCTTTAATTTTTAAAATCCGACTGAATTTCAGAATTTCATCTATTCAATTTCAATTGAGTGTACTAAAGTTTGAAGTGTATTTGTATAACTACAGCAGATAGACTTTAACCATCAATCAATCGATCATTTCTTCTAACAGAAGATATGAACTCTTAGTTATACAGTTTTTAGTCATATCATCGGATCAGTTATTTTCCGAAAACTTTTTAGAGAATTTTTTCACTTCATTATTTATTCTCGTTTTATGTTTACTTTCTATGGCAACATTCCATTTATTTTATTTTGAAAGGTGTTTCTGAAAGGTGCTAAGAAAATACCCCAGTGTTTAACAAAAAGAAAGTGTTATCTGGTTCCGAGTAATAATAAAATATCACAATATGCTGTCATCTGACTATTTCTATTCTGTTCAATTTGTAATACTCTAGATTAAAAATCAATGTCAAATGAAATGACACCCGTTTATTTCAAGTGTTTAAATTGAAACTTATTTTTTATATTTTTTCCGTCGGCTGTATTTGAAATACCTCTTATATCAATTGATTACTTTCACTCAAGGATAAAATAATTTATTACATACTTCCTGAGAAAAAATGTTTCGTTGTATTGAAATAATCGTAAAATAATAACATAGTGAAATGAACGCCACGGTTATATTCTAATTCTGAAAAAATTCTGATAGTATTGAATAAAATCGAATGGTTTTAGAATGATTTAACAAACACTAACACTGACGGTTTTTTTTTCGTCTTTCTTCGACCATTTATCACTTGAAAAGGGTACAAAGTAAATAGTTAAAAAAAGCTGAAGAAGCTATATGAAAAAAGAGAGAAGCATCAATTAATGTTAAGTGACTTCTTATAATTGTTACAGAAAATTAATTATATTATTATTCGTTGAAAAGTGTGCTGCCAATCATGTCACAATTCTTCTTCTTGTTTTCTAACAGTATGAAAATAGGCTGCAATTTATTAATCTGAATATAAACGAGACTTGCATAAATATACGATTTTAGTTTATCTTTTTTTCTTTTCCTGTGGAATCGGTTGGACATAACGTAGATATCGTCCATTCCATAACAGCATATTCT